GTTATCAGATAAGAAAGGTGTAAATTGCAGCCCACAGCTTCCTTAGCATTTCTCAAGCTCCCCAATCTGTCTCACATCTTTCACTTTGTTTCCTTCCCCTTTTCAAAATGTTCCCATTCCTGTGCCTGACTGACTAAGGAATTACACAGCAAAGGTGTGGGATATTCCTCATGCATAAAGTTCTTGTGGAAATCGATGCAATAACTGTGGGACGTGATAGAGTTAACAGGAGTTTTAGTGCCTCTTTGCGTGCCCGGATAAGTGTGTTCACGCTAATGTCCACGCGCCTTCTCTGGTGTTAATGAGGCAGGTTTTCAGCCAGTCCCCCCCTCTTTTCTCCTCTCCTTCTCAGGAGAATCTCTCACAATCACACTTTAATGACCAGCCAGCATGGTGTGAACAGGAGAGAAATAGAAAAGGGGGGGCACTATGGTAGGGTGTGGGGAAAAATGTAATAATTGATCAGTTTCAGTCTATGGAAGACAAAACCACAGGAGGATTTATTAAAAAACTGGCTGTTATTTTTTTACAGGCAACATGAAACCTTGGATGAAACCTTAATTTCCCTGAGGGGTGCTGAGGATGATGTGCTGACTGTAGGCCACATGCTGTTATTCTTGAGAGGGCTTCATTTAGTTTTGATTTAATAAACATTTGGTTCACATTTTTAACATTTTTTTAGCTATCAAAAATCGTAGGAATTTATCAGTGTTGCACACATGATTGTCATTTCAGAAAAAAAAGAAGGGAAGTATTGTGTGGGATTGAAGCTGTGAGATGAAATTGTTGTTTATCATGGAATTGTTCTAATAATGAAAATCAAATGGGGGCTGGCACACTGCTATTATGCCTCTTGGCTGAGCGCTTGTGTTTGTGTGCTTGCACTATAATCATGTGCATGCAGTCTTTAAGTGGCCAAGTCATGTTGGAGGAGAGCTTACCCGCCTCCAGCAATAAGCGCTGGCTCGGAGGTAACTGGCAGAACAGTGCTGGGACACGGACCCTGCCGCTGCCAGGTGTGTCGAGGAGGTAATTGTCATGGTGGCCGGCCTGAGGCCAACAGCTTAGAGGCGGAGGGCTGGGGAGAAAATGAGGAGCAGCTTCTGCTGGAGACTGTTTGCCTGAGGGGTTAGCTCAATATCTGTGTTGTTGCTTATCCGATTCCACTCTGTTCCCCACTTTGTACTTGTCTTATTGTTAAACGCTCCTCTTGCATTTCCTATTCTTTCTGTCCTGCATGATCATTTACAGCCGTGCCTACTCTGCTGTTTTTGTCTAAACTTTTCCCACACCTTACTGTTCCACTTTACCTTTCATCTCAGACTGTTTTCAAAGTTTTATCATCAGCAGCTTTCCTGTAGAAAATACAGTCTGTCTCTCGAATATTTATGTTTTCTGATATGCATTTTTTTTTTATAACTTTGGCATAGAACTTTAAAAATATGAGATGCATTGATGCGGAAATTTATCTTAAAGGTTTTAAAGCTGTTTACACTTTAATATCCATTTTTTAAATCCTTTGTATTTATTACTTTTTTCTAACTATGATTTGAAAGCATTGCTACCCAGGGTTAGAATATTTATTTTTGGGAACTTTATTGTTTAAAACTAAATAAATTGAGGCTTATTGGATACCATCAATGTGAAGTATGAACCAAATATTTGGTCTTCAATCAGTGTTTTTTTTTTTTCTTTTTTTCAGTGTTTTCAGTGTTTTTAACCAAAAACTAACTGTAAAATTTGAGCATTTTTCACAATCAGCATATTCTTACATAGGGAAAATCCAGTCATAGACTATTTCTCTGTTCAATTTTATTATTTATTAGCGACTTAAGGAGGAGGTCTTTGGCTCTGGCTTGTAAGACGGTGAATGAAAACAAGCACATGTTTGTTTAACGTCCCCCTCCATCAGAACATTGCCAGCTCATGAAATATGAATACGGGCCTGTGTGCCTTTTTGCATGTATTTGCCCTATGTGTGTCTACGTCTTTCTGTTGGTGGACTGATCAGCTGTCTGTCGGATCCTTTACACCAGGACTGACTCATGCACCTTTGCAGAAACTAGTGTGTTGTTGTGAAAGTAGGAAGTTTGAAGAAAAGGTGCAAGTGAAACCGAGTTCTGAAATAAACAGTGACGTCAATGGAGCATGTCGGGAGTTATCAGCAGAGTCTTGTTTACATGTATCCATTTTGTTTGTACATGCAGAGCATCAGAAAAGTATTAATGTTAATCTTAACTTAATCCATGGTGTATCACGTTAAAAATCACACATTCCAAGTGTTGGTCATCTGAATTTTAATAAACTAGGCTAACCATAGCATACAACATGTATTTATAAAGCACTTTCAACACCCAACAGGACCAAAGTGATATACAAAATCATAAAAGACAAATAATCAATCTAAAAAAGCAATAAATAAAGGTGTGTATGAAAGTTGTATTAAGATACTAGTACTTCAACAAAGTATAGATTATTTGTCTAAAACGTTTGAAAAATGAACATTACTGGTAAAAAGTTCATTCTCACGTCATCTAAACTTTTTGGACTGCGTTTGATTGGCCAAAATACAGTGGCAGCACCACACTAATGCCTTTTCTCTTGATGTTAAACTTGATGTAAAACTTGTCATAGTTAGCAGGATGGAGCGAAACACATGACGATCCAGGAAGAAACCTGTTAAAAACCTTGCAATACCAAAATATTGTAGTTTAGATCAAAGCGTATTAATGTTACTCTACGTACTTCAAGAGCTGTAAAGGAATGCACTGTGTTCACATTTTTAAAGTTTCTCTACCTAAAACTTTTCCTGATTACTTGGGGAAAAATTATTACTTTATTAGCTGTTTGTATTAAATGACTAGAAAACATGACAACAGTTTTAACAGAATGGTAATGTTACTCAGAACATAGAGAAAGGGTTCAGGTTACATATGGCAGCGCTTACCAACGGGCTCACTTCTTTAGAAAGTCGGACGAAAATTATTGCTAAAGGAGCATTTTATCATCACATCTCATCCATCCATCCATCCATCCATCCATCCATCCATCCATCCATCCATCCATCACAGTACAGTTGCTATCCAGCAGTCTATGGGCGAGAGCCGGGATACGCACAACACAAGTCACAAGACTGTCGTAGTACATCATACATATGTTTTTAAATCAGGCATCACTGGCTCTAGCCATATCAAGATAATAAACAGTATTTTTAGATCAGGGATAGTCCAATGCACACTACTATAACTCTCTGTTAATAAGGAATTCTAAGGAAATCTGTGTTACGTACATAATGATTACCTTTTGTTTTGATACAAAAACTCCTAATTAGGTAAGGTGCTTGGGAAAACATTTGCCTTAACATTTAATAGGAAGGTAATATAAAGGGTTAGCAGGCACATACATCAATCATAAAAAAAATCCTAACAGAGGCATTATAGAGTTTTCTATGATATGGCCACCTGTAGCCAGAACACAGAACTGCAGTGTTCTTCTGCTAGCTCACACTCATACTTATCCTTTTTTTTTTTTTTTTTTTTTTACTGTTATCACCATATGTGGTGTCTGAGTTAGGCTTGTCCCAATCCGATCCACGTATCGGATCGGGACGCCGATATTGGCAAAAAAATGCGTATCGGCAAAGCATGTAAAATGCCGATCCAGACTGCCGATCCAGTTTTTTTTTTAAATCCGGTCCGTATTTTCCAGTTTCGCCGATTGAAACGATCCATTCCACTATTTTGCGCCAGTGTTCCCGTTTTGCATTTTTATTAAAACTTACAGTAATATAGCACCTTTAACTGTTTACGGTTTTACTGCTCACTGTGCAATTTCAGATTGCTATTCGTAATTTTGTCCAGTTTGTGTTTATCTCTTAATAAACAGGTAAGTTTGTTGTTACCAAGCATTGTGTTTTATTCAATCTCACCTAATTTAGCTGGCTAGATGTTATCAAGAGTACTAAAACCCTTTTCAACATGAGTCTTACAACTAAGGCTAAATACTTTAACTTAAACTTAAATACATGCTCGGATAGGCTGGTATCGGCCAGTATCGGTATCGGATCGGAAGTCCAAAAACAATATCGGTATCGGATCGGAAGTGCAAAAAGTTTAGCTGGATGCTAGTCGAGTCTGAATATCCATAAAAATCCATCTTGAATATAACATCTTGATTGTTTGCAAGGTTGTACTCCTTAAACCATATCCACCGAACAGCGCAGGAACTTCCCACCAAAAGTAAATTTAGGAAAATAGGCTACAGACTTATAGATACAGTAGTTGTAAAGTGTTGAATAAAATGGCTATTTTAAAAATATTTTTTTGTGAAAACGTACAAAATGCAAAATCTAAGCACACCTAAAGGCACAAGTACGTAGGAAGTCGTAGGACAGAACGTGTCCACAGATAAAAAAAGGAAAAAAAAAAACGTTGCTCACACTGTATTGCTCTCCATCAAAGATTTATTAATGTAATCTCACTATGACCTTCATCAGACATGTCTGAAGGTCATATCAACTGTGCAGGATGTTTTTGGAAACCAGTAAAAACCTACAAAATATTTCTTTAATTTCTACATCTGAATCTCGCTGCGAGTCTATGGAAAGGTTTAAAAAATGCTGCAGTTAGACGCTATTTATCGCTTCAAGCTCAGCTTTAGCTTTTTTGTGAATAATAATAAGCCAAGACAAAGACTTTAGATAGCAAAGCAAATGGTTCCAGCGTTCACTGACTAACATAGAGTGAATATCAAGGATGTCCACTTTTTTGATTTACAGTATTTTTGTTAAACAGTCCTGAAAACCATGTACTTTCCATCCAAAGTACACAACTTTGCGTTGGTCTAGAACATGAAAAAGCAATAACATGCCATAGTCTGGCAAATGTAAACAACTTTCAAGTGACATGAAAAATGGTTTCATAGCTCTATAATGAAGTTTTTACTGAGTTGTTGAAGTGATTATTAAAGCTTTCTCCTGTTCTCTTCCAATCTTTGCCCAGCAGAAACCCTCTTTCTAGAGTGGCCAGAGTGAGAGACGAGCACATGAGGAGCAGAAACGTCTCGCCATCAACATCCTGACGAGTAACCTTGCTTCTGCGCCCCACCACACGCCCTCCGACTCCAGAAGTGGGCGTCAGCAGGAAGGAAACGAGTGACCACTCCTCCTGCAGGCATGGTAAGGCACTGATTGTTTAGTAGGTGCTGGGTTTTGCGTGTGGGGGTGTGGATTATCCACTGTGGAGAAGCAAAGGCCATGAGTTCAATCTGATAAGTTGTTAAACACATCGCTGACAGATAGTGTGAGTCTTTTGGCTGAAAAGTATATGTGTGATAAAAGCTTGTTTAGGGCAGATAGGGAAGGAGAGCTCATACATCACTGAGAATGGAATAGATGTCAAAGCCAGTAGAACATAAAAAGGGAATGAAGAAATTCAGCAAAAGGATGAGGCGAAGGGGAAAAGTAGCACAACAGAAAATGTTTACAATATGACGAAACGGTCAAATTGGGGAAGTCACATAATCTGGCTGTGTAGAGACGTATCTATATTATATGGAAAGTTGAGTGGAAGAACAAAGTGTGATTTTAAAAAAAGCATATAGGCAAAACCTAAATCTGCTTTCAGAGATTGGTTTGAGATCACATGACATGAGTTCCAACCATGACATTTTTTATCCTCTCAAAACCCACCATTTTAAAGCGTTTACAAATAATAACTCAGAATGCATGAAAATCTCACTGGTAAAATGATTATCAATACAGACATGTTAGACATCGTTGGAAAGCTTAGATTCTCCACAATTCAACCACCTAGTTCATTGTATGGACATAGCGAGCACCAAAGCACAATTAACACAAATATAGCAGCGTGTCAAAATTTCACATGACAAAGCAGCCACAACAAGCAAGCATGTCTTTATAACTGTCCATCCATCCATCCATTTTCTAGCACACTTATCTTGAGTGGGGTCGCGAGTAGGGATGGGGATCGAAACCCGGTTCCATCAAGGACCCGGTTCCACTTTTTTCAAAACCAGAAAATCAATAGCGTTTGGGCTTATCGATACCTCTATCGAGTCTGGTCGTGTTTTTTTTTTCTCCCGGAGGTCCTGTAACATAATTGTGTGTCCCTCGAGTCGCGTCACAGCATTTAAATCTAATCAATCCAATCACTGCAGCATGTCCACCAATGTTTTGGAATGAAATTGTAAGCAAACAGATATTAAAAGTAAAACAAGTGAAGTCTGGCACTTAACTTTGCTCGCGACTCGAGGATGGCTGAACGGAAAAGACTCCTCCTCCTCCGGCTGCTGCCCTGCCGCACCACAGTCGGGCCCGTCTTCATCATCCACTCAGTACCACTGGTAAGCGCGCACACAGACTTTGTAGCTTGTCCGGTCAGTTAAAAATAGTAATTGTGAAATCCGTCTTGTAATCGGAAGCATACAAGCTAGTTAGCTTGAAAAGTAAATAGTTTCAGACGTGCTGCGTGATGATGTGTTCAGATTGGCTCAGTAAAACGACAATTAGGTTATCATGATGCGTTCAAGTGTAACGTAAAGAAAACGGGAAATTTAGTTTTTGGCGAGAAACATGAGTAATACAGTTGTATATTGCTCTAATTATTTTAGAATATATAATTAAACTACTGATGCCAACATTTATTAAAAATTACATTTAATTTAAAATACAATTATTTATTTGTTAAATATTTTCCTAATCACTAAAAACATGATGAAAAGTGACAGTAGACAATACATTAACCAACAATTGTGAAAATATATTCTAGTTAGTTTTATGTCATTTCAAAGTGGCCTATTACATTAGCCATGTTTATTGAAGGCTAGAAACGTTTTTGTTATGCTCACTTGTTAAGCAATAAAAGCAATACCAGTTCTGTTAAAAAATGTTCTTTGCATCGTCTTTCCACCAAATAACAGAAAAGTATCGATAGTGGTATCGATAAAGACTCTGATTGATAAGGAGTATCGATAAAGGTATCAATATCAATAAATATTAACGATCCCCATCCCTAGTCGTGAGGTGTGCTGGTGCCTATCTCCAGCAGTCAATGGGCGAGAGGCGGGGCACACCCTGGACAGGTCGCCAGTCCATCGCAGGGCAACACAGAGACAAACAGGACAAACAACCATTCACACACACTCACACCTAAGGGGACTGTAGAGAAGCCAGTTAACCTAACAGTCATGTTTTTGGACTGTGGGAGGAAGCCGGAGTACCCGGAGAGAACCATGCTCAGGGAGAACATGCAAACTCCATGCAGAAAGGGCCGCGAATTGAACCGAGAACCTTCTTGCAAGGCAGCACTGCTACCCACTGCGCCACTGAGCAGTCTTTATAACTGCTGTTTAACATGACTCACCCAATTTCCATGTATATATTCAGAAACTAGAAAGTGTTAGCTTTCAAATAATGTATCATATATGTAATTTGTGCTTACAGTTCCTAAGTTATTTGCTTTTCCATTTGGGTATGCAAAATAGGCGCAAATTTCCAAAAATGAGGTGGATATTAAGAGGTTAAGTGAAGCAACTACAATTATTTGAGCTCATGTTGATAGAGATGAACAGGGTCTTTTTTATTTTACTGAATGTGAAATTCATTTTTTTCATATCTCATTAGCATCGGGTGCAAGTATTGTAGAAGGTTCTCTATTTCCATAGCATTGAATCTGTTTCTGGTGACCTTCTGAGGTATCCTCTTCATATTAGTATTACGACTGTCCGGGTACAACTTTTTCACTTCCAACACAAATATTGCAGCTTTGAGGATTGACCAATACTAATATTGCCCTGGTACGATAGAAGTTCAAATCATGTGTACTTTTATTGCTTATTATGTAGTGTAGAAAATTAGAAAAGGCTTTATAGAATTATATTACTGAGAGAAGATTAGTTAACAACAATAGGTATGAGAACAATTAAACTATTCATTAACTCAACCTTCACAGACTGCTTGAAATTAAAACAGAATTTGAGTTTGTTTTTTTGTTTTTTGCTACATGCCCATATATTCTTACTGGTTTGTGACATCATTACCGGATTGGGACATTACTTAGAATCAATGCAGGATTAATAACGCTTAATTATTGCTTGAGTTATATCCTTAGTAATATTCTCCTGATATTTGGTATAGAAATATTCTAGTTTGTAAAAGCTTTGTCATCTGCATATTTTGCAGGTTTATAAAGAGTGTAAACGTGAAACAGCTAGGTTGTTCATAATGTAAAAGGATGCATGAGAGGCCTGTAGTAGAACACAGATGGTGTTCAAAGGATATCTCAGTATCAAAAACAGGTGAGGAGAGAGAAAATGTCAAAAAAAAAAAACTAAGACCATAAAAATATAACATAATATAAAACACAGGGTGAAAACAATGTCAAAAAGAAAAGGAGATGTGCATAGTAGAAGGGAGGGGTGGAGAAGGAAGTAGAAAGGTTGAGGTAAAACGGGTGCAGGGCGAGGAATTGATTAATGGTCCTGGCTTGTGACAGTGGAAGCTCTTCTCCCATGGGGGGTTGGGTTGAACACAAGATGAATTATTAAAAACTAGAGCAGAAGAAGGGAGGAGAAAAATTGGTACAAAAAGTGAATAAGGGGAAAAGTTGTTGGTTAGGGATGCAGACCAATGAAGAAAAAAGGCAGGTGGGGAGAAAGGTGCATTGCAGAAAAAAAAAAAAAGTGAAGATGTTATTGAAAGTACCGATGTTGGACATTGCACAAAGGGAAAACATAGCTGAGCTCATAAATAACCAAGGGTAATGAGACCGGTGCATTCCCAGTGCTGCAAACTCAGTACTGTGATTACTCCTGACTCCGGCTAATACTGCTGACCTTGGCAATGGTGTCATATTGCAAACAGAACAACTTATTTGCCTTGATGTTCTTATAGAAGCTCAGTAAATACACTTGGCTACATTGTATGTTTGTTCCTTACTTCGTTTTGTGCAGCTATAGTTTCATCTTCGTTCACGACTGCTTGCTTGTGCATACTAAACCATCATTAGTGCCGGCTTAGATTTTGGGGGAGGAGATCCTGGAGAAGTCTTAGAGAGATGGTATTTTGCAATAACAATAAAAAATAATAATAATAATAAAATTGAAAAAAACATTGAATGTGAGAATATTTAACTTCAAGGTGGTACATGCATGTCGAGAATGGATGGAGACCCAACAATTGTACTTTTTCGCTATTGCTGGTCATTCAGTTGGTAAGGTCATTTAGTCCTTACCAACTAATTGACCTTTTCCCGATCATTAAACATGTATAGAGATTTTCGTATGTTTTTCTTTATGCAAGAATAATTGTTAAGCAGGGGTGAGATTCTATAATCAAGCTCCAATTTTATACAGCTACAGTTTCTAAGTCAAATAAATTGTCCATCTTTACTTCACTAACATTATTTTGCATGCAGTTAGCATGCACGGCCTGCAGAGTATATTACCCCTTCAAATATTGCATCTAAACAGTCTCTGATTATGAGTTTTTACACAGTTATACTGCATTTAAGGTTAAAGTAGATGTTAATCAATAGATTTTGTGCAGCATTAAATAAAAATAAGTAGTCGGCACTGTGTTAAGGTACCTGCTCATCAGCGTTGATAGTCTATGCCGATTTTGCATTCCTCAGTTATTTATTTTTATCTTTTCTTTTTACAAGTCTTTATATTTTCCTGTCAATATTTTAGTTCTGAGTCCAGTATGTTTGGCAAAAATGCACCTGCTTTTAGCAGCCAGGTCATAAAATGTTATGGAGCCCCTAAAAACCATGTCTGTGCATTACTAGGAGCAAAGTATAGAAGCACACAGACACACATCCCAGGCTGTTAGTACAAACTGGGCATTGTGTTGATGTTTTGGAGGCTGGTTTGTGGGTTTGACTGATTATAGCAGAATTCTAGATGAATACCACTCTTGTCTAAACAATACAGTCTGCGAATACTGATGTTATGCAGCAGAAATGTTCCAGTATATGGTTTTGCTTTTGCTCATTCCCCCCATTTCTTTTAGGGTGGCTGAAAGGCTTGGTAATATTTCTGATATTTCAATGTATCCACGCATGTGGCTTGTTTGTATGTATTTTGTTCACTTCCAAATCTCCTTAGCTGCACATTTTATTGCCATTTTTAATAACTGTAAAGTGTTTTTGTTCTGTT